GCCCTGACTTAGATCAGCCCAGAGGTTATTTCAGGGTTTGATCTGTGAGTTAGCCGTGCCCTGACTTAGATCAGCCCAGAGGTTATTTCAGGGTTCAATTTATGAGTTAGCCATGCCCTCACTGAGATCCGCCCAGAGGTTGTTTCAGGGTTCGATTTATGAGTTAGCCATGCCCTCACTGAGATCAGCCCAGAGGTTGTTTCAGGGTTCAATTTATGAGTTAGCCGTGCCCTGACTTAGATAAGCCCAGAGGTTGTTTCAGGGTTCGATTTATGAGTTAGCCATGCCCTCACTGAGATCAGCCCACAGGTTGTTTCATGGTTCAATTTATGAGTTAGCCGTAGCCTGACTTAAATAAGCCCAGAGGTTGTTTCAGGGTTCAATCTGTGAGTAAGTCTACCTTGACTTAGATCAGCCAAAGTTTTTTATCTTTATCATGTTTATATTTTTTAAATGTTAGGTTTCTACTTACACCTATGGAATCTTGGGTGTGYAAAGTGTAGGACTTAGTACTCATCATGAACTTCTTATATCCAGGCACATAAAGTGGTAGACTTGAAGCGCTGTAATACTGCTTCTCTAATGCCTTCCTCCAYGTTGGATTCTTAATGTGATCAAAACAGTCCTGTATCCCCTTCTTCACCTCACTAGAATTCCGTACATCTACTTTAGTATTACCAACATTTTCGTTCAAAATATTTGTATTTTCTGACTGTRGTGTTATTTTCTGGGAAGGATGGTTCTCCTTGTTTGAATTGCCATCTTCAGTGATTGGATTTTTATAGATTAGTTGTTTCATTGCTTCATTCTCTTGCTGCCCAGAGCTTTTGACCATTTCCCGCTCTCCTAAATTTGAATTACTTTGTCCATTGTTTATAGAATTTTGCTTGTTTTCTACATTTTGTTGTTCACATAATTTTTTGTCTTCAAGACTTTTGGATCTTGAGGTTATCACAGTAGCTGAAGAATKCACAAGAACCGATTGGTTGCTCTTCGGAAAACTCTGATTCAAAAATTCRCAGGTATTTTCCTTGGGGTCTAGATATGAAGACATTTGTAACATGGCTTTGTCGAGGCATTCATTCAAGCGTTTTGGATCAATACTATCATCCACATCACTRATTTGGCTTGTACTTGAGCTGGAACTCCGTCTGGAGTATAAATAATTTTGTTCTAAATTACTGCTTCTTATRAAGGTGTACTTTTGGGGAGAGACTTGACTAACACCTTCTTGTGATGGGTCAGAATTGTAACCTTTCTCTGACGACAGATTTGTTGACTCGTTCTGCATCAAATTTATCTGATTTGATGCCTCATTAGAATCTAGGTTTTTCTCCGAGTTAATTGGAGAAAAATCTTTTGGTGGAGGAGCCATGATTGTTGTCGAAGAAGGCTGYACACTGTGAAGCAATTCCAAGATAGATGCCGATCTGGCAAGAGCTATTGCAGTGTAGCCTTGCATCGTTGTTTGTTCAGGGTGTGCCCCATATCTGAGGAGTAGTTCTACAACCTTGCGATGAAAAGAGAATGAAATCAATGTTAAATGCTTTAAATGCACCTCATATAGRTCTATTTAAAACCTTTTTTTATTTGAAATAGCAAGGATAATAGAGTGAAATAAAAAATGTTAAACAACATGTAATAGTCAAATAGACACAAAAAAACAATRGAATTAGGGTCTACTAAATATGTATTAGTCTAGTTGTAATATCTTTTTCACAGGTTTAATGACTTCATTCTATATTGAATTGGCATGATATACTGTATCATCAGTTCCTCCATCTGTCCACCTCTCTATCCACCCATACCTCTAGCATAATCAGACAATCTTTTATATACTCTCTCTCTCTATATATATATATACAGTAATGATGAAAAGGTAAATTATACACCGTGAAAAGATGAAAAAAACTTACTGAATTTTCGGACGCTAGTCCTTCGTCAGAGTAAAAATGTATCTATCCATCCACTTACTTACTTCTCTTTCTATATATCTTTCTATATATCTATTCATCCATTCATTCACATACCTACCTACCCATCAGTATCCACCTACTACTGTACTCACCCACTCATTCCTCCATCCACCCACCCATTCATCTATCTACCCATTCACCCATTCATACACCCACCCGCCCTGTTTCAATTATCATGTCATCTCATGTGTCGTTTTTTTTACGACCATGTAATCAGTTTCAGTCTGCTTAGGAAAAACTCAGGAAGAACTTGGAACTTGAGTGAAATTGCATACCCTGTTTATGACAAGAAGCTCGAAAAACCATACCCTGTTCAGCGGATCATCCCCGCATAGTCCATAAATGGGGGTCCCCCCCCCCCCCCCGGGCCATCCAACCATACAGCAAGCCACCCCATCCATTCCACAACTCATAAACATTATCTATACTCATTCACCTATTCATCATTTGTCATACCTGCACATGGTTATTAATGACGGCGTCATGAAGGGGGCTGATATCTTCATACCCTGGAACATTCACATTAGCTCCAGCCTTGAGAAGTTYATCAACAATGTGAAGGTGTCCAAAGTTACATGCCTCATGTAATGGAGTCCAACCTAACATTAACAAAATAATAAAAAAATTAACCTTGGCAAAATAAAAAAAAATTTTTGACTCCAATAATTTGGTTTAGAGGTCTTTAGCAATATGCCTTTTTATACTAAGAGGTCATGTGACTGACTCTATGCCACTCATATCGAGCAGTTGCATCAAAATCATCACCAGAAATGAAAAGAGCACCTTGGTATTAGTACCAGTAAGGAGGTGAAGTACCGCCACTATCAAAGCTCATAATGTTGAATGGAAGAGAAATGGTATTACACAATTTTGGTAGGGTTACCAGAATTACACAGGCCCTACTAGGCCCTTCTAGATTGAATATGAATTTTGGAGTTTAATCTTGCAGAGGGAAAAAAACCTGGGGGCCTGGAGGAAACCTCAAAGCACAGGAGAAAAACCTGGGAGCCTGGAGGAAACCTCAAAGCACAGGAGAGAACCATCAAACAACTCTACTCACATATGACGCCAAGTCTAGGGATCAAACCCCAGTTTCATTGGAGAGGCAGGAGTTCTTACCGCTACACCACCCATGCTTTCCATTAGCATTGGAAATTGCATAGCCGTTATTAAAACAGTGTACATACAAATGTTTGAAAGTTATTTGTAAGCAACAGCCTTTATGTAATAAAGGACTAATTGTACTGCTCTCTGATACTAATCAGAATTGGGCTATTTTATTTAGTGTACTATAAGATATAAAATTGAATATTTTATAAGGATTTGTATGGAAAAATGTGTTGGATGGCAAGCTGTGTAAAGGCCGTACACTTTCTTACCAGCATAATCTTTGGCATTCACAGAGACTCCTCCTTTTATCAATGCTATAGTCTCTTCAGTATCTCCTTTTATTGCAGCGAGGTGAAGCAGTGTCTCTCCACGCTCATTTCTTTTACTCATGCGCATATTATTGACCTCCCTCTTTATCGCATCTTTCTTCTTCAACCTGGTAAACATCTGTCCCTGATTTTGATTTTCTTCTGATTCCTGCGGCTCTGTCTGAGCTTCCTTGGCAGTGACCTAAAATCAAAAGCCAAATTTCCTCCAAGTTTAAGAGCTTGCACTTCTATCTCAATTTTTAAAAGAGAAGTAAAAACCTGGCTTTTTAAACAAGCTTTTCTTAATT